TGAATCTGGTCCAACATTGACGTGTACATACCCAGTAGTGGGTTACATCAATAAAACCCAATAAATAATTCTGTTAGATTTGGCTTCTACAACCCCCTGGCAAAAAAGATGGAATCACCAGCCTTGGAGGATGTTCATTCAGTTGTTTAATTTTGTAGAAAAAAAGATCACATACATGACAAAAAACTAAAGTAATTTCAAATGGCAACTGTCTGGCTTTAAGAAGCACTCAAATAAATCAACAGTTAAACTTTTTTTTTTTAGACCAAGCAGAGGGGGAAACTATGGAATCACTCAATTCTGAGGAAAAAACCGACACCTGCATCTAATTAGACCTGCTCGTTAGTCTTCATCAAAAACACCTGTGAGAACTTCGGCACCAAGTGGACTGACATGAATCATGGCTCCAACACCAGAGATGTCAACTGAAACAAAGGAGAGGATTGTCAAACTCTTAAAAGAGAGTAAACACGATGTTGCAAAAGATGTTGGTTGTTCACAGTCAGCCGTGTCTAAAATATGGACCAAAAACAAACAACATGGGAAGGTTGTTAAAGGCAAACATACTGGTAGACCAAGGAAGATTTGAAAGAGTCAAAACAGAAAACGTAAAGCAATATGTCCCAAAAAAACAAAACAAATGAGTTACAAACAGGAGGAAACTGGAGTCAACATCTGTGACTAAGAAACTGTCTAACGGAAATGGGATTTACATACAGAAAAGCTAAACGGCCACCATTAACACCTAAACAGAAAAAAACAAGGTTACAATGGGCTAAGGAAAATAAACCGTGGACTGTGGATAACTGGATGAAAGCCATATTCCGTGACGAATCTCAAATCTGCATTGTGTGATGATGTTGGAACTTTTGTTTGGTCCCGTTCCAATGATGATTTCCTGAAGAGAACATGCAATTTTCCACAGTCATTGATGATATGGGGCTTTATGTCAGGTAAAGGCACTGGGGAGATGGCTGTCATTACATCTTCAATAAAAGCACAAGTTTACGTTTGTATTTTGGACACTTTTCTTATTCCATCACTTGAAAGGATGTCTGGGGGTGATGAAATTATTTTTCAAGATGATAATGCATTTTCCCATAGAGCAAAAACTGTGAAAACATTCGAAAAAAGACACATTCTTTCGATTTTCATGATTCCGTAATTTTTTTCCTCAGAACCGAGTGATTCCATATGTTTGCTTGGTCTAAAAAAAGTAACCGCTACTGACAACCGCATTTTTTTTCTTGATTTATTTGAGTGTTTTTCAAAGCCAGACAGACACTTGCCATTTGAAATGAATTTAGTTTTGTGTCATGTCTGTGATCTGTGATTTTTCTACTAAGTTAAACAACTGAATGAACATCCTCCGAGGCTGGTGATTCCATCATTTTTGCCAGGGGTTGTATTTGTTGACTTTAGAATTGTACTTTTTCACTGAATTAATGTGACTTACCAATTATGCAGTTCATTTTAGACTTGTACTTGCACAATGAATTCATATAACCTCTCTGGTTTACTCTGGTTCCTGGTTCTTACAATAGTAAATAATCTGACATCCTCTGGTGAACAACACATTATTGTTCTTTGTGTTCAACAGAAACTTTGAGACTTTGCTGTTAAGACCTTAATTATCATCACCTTAAAGTAGCCAATAAGCAGACTGGGTCTTTGATTAGAAAATTGTGTAGGAAAGGAAACACACTCCACAGTCACTACATTTTCACTTTTTTTTGGGCTGTCTGCCAACAAGAAGTTGGACGGGAAGATGGCACTCTCATCATATAGTTACACTTCAGGGATTCAATGACTCACATCAGTTTATGACAAATCACGACTCATTCCAAAACTGAGTTTCTCAAACCATCGGCACCATCTGTAACCAAAGACTTGAAACGTATAAAACAAGACTTTGCCAATAACTTGAACTCTTTTCAGAATGCCACGGTCTTTAGACATGAGTTTACATTAGATTTTAAGACACATGGGGAACTGCCGACACTGACAGTGTGAAAGTTTTTGAATTTTGGCCAAGAAACACCAAAACAACAGAACATATAAAACACATCAGATGGTGAAGGAGAAACATTTATATGTTTGATGAAAAAAATGGGCGCATCATAAAATTAATGGCAGCAAAATGTCCCATTTGACATCTTACTATTTCAATTTTTCATTTAAACATTACATTTTCTCTCTGTTGATATATGGAATGATATATGATATATGGAATCTGTAAATAATCAAATTCTGCTCTTGATTAAATTTTTCCAAGCATTTTGGAGTGGGGTGTTGTCCCTAAATGTGTGTTGCTGTCTTTTTGTGGCCAAAAGAGACTGAATGAGAATTAATTTTATAATAAATTTTATGAGAACGACGTTATTTATATCATTTCCTGGATTTAAAAAGATTCCCTCCTGCAGTGGGATGCAAGGGAGTTTAAATGAAAGGGAAACCAATGCTGTGGTACCTCTACTTATTATTGAAGTTAATCTGATATTTTTTTAAACAGCCTAGCAACTCTTTCCTTCTTTCTTTCTTCGCTCTCCACCTGTTTTTGGCTAAACAAAGCAAAAACTCACCTAGCAACAATGGCAGTTAGCAAAGTTGATGGGAGCCATATCACCAGTTGTGATGTGACCCTTATTCTCTATTGTTTGGATGCAAAACAAAAAGGTGCTATTAAACGGATGAATAAGGTCACTGAGTTTTCTCAACATGCTTAATTCCACATTGTTTATTAATCTATGAAACCACCTAGGTGGTCCTCTTTTATACCCTGCAGCACCCCCAACCTCCATGTTTTATCAGCACTTTAGACACTACAACCCATTTACCCACACATATAGTACAGGACTATCTCAGAAAATTAGAATATTGTGATAAAGTTCTTTATTTTCTATTTAAATCATGAAATGTCATACATTCTGGATTCATTACAAATCAACTGAAATATCGCAAGCCTTTTATTGTTTTAATATCGCTGATTATAGCGTACAGCTGAAGAAAACTAAAAAATCCATCAGTGTAACATATTTCAAGAAGGAATGGAGGGTGTGTTTGACAAAGAAAATGCAGAACAAGGTGTGTTTGGTCAGGTTTCTCTGACTGTGAAAGAACGGTGCTGCGAAATGATTGCGCAAATAGGAACTGGGATTCTGGTAAAACCAGTATGGGGTATACTGGGGAAAACGGCAGCAATTAGAAGTGATTCCAGGGAATGATAAGAGAATGACTATGACTAAGTTGATGTGCACTTTTTATAGGAAAAAGGAGGCAGAGCATGATAAAATGAATGGGGGAGGGAAAAGTAAAGGAGGTATTCAAAAGTTTGATAGGACTGCAGGGTATGGGGGACAGTTTGTTGTGATGAAAACTCCCTCCAGAAAATGTTGATACGGTAATAGCAGAACAGGAGAAATTCACACCCTATGATAAGAGTGTGTGGATAGAACCTGGAGCCCATTAAGCAGAAGATGGGCTATGAAAGAAAGTGTCATATGTGGAGAATTTAACGTGAGGTCCGCGTTAAAACCACATCAGGGTTTATTCCCAACCCCAACAGGACCAGGACAGGAGGTGGTGTTAGATTTCACTGACATGGGGGAGAAGGGTTTATAGGTTTTTGCTAATAGTGGTGGATTCCTTTTCTAGGTAGGTGGAAACCACCCCTGCTAAGAGGGTAGACAGCAAAACAATGATACAGTTTCTCATCAATCATTACATTCCATGTCATGGTTTCCTCAGAAGGATAAGATCAGATAATGGGACTCACTCAAGCTGAATGGATGAACAGGGAGTTAGAGGGAAAAATGACTCAAATCTGGGCAGATACTAAGCTTAACTGGGTGGAAGCACACCCCCCCCCCCCTAACATTGACATCAGGAGCTCAGAGAATACAAACCCAGGTTTTACTTCTTATGAGTTGATCACAGGAAGATCCCTGGAAGTTTTCAGGGCCAGTAGCTACCTTGGATCTAAAGGGGGCATGGGGAGAAAAAATACCATACAGACAATTTTCATAAACTCAGAGCTCTTGTTTCAGCTTTCTAAAACTCAGGTGTCTGCAACAGAGAGGACAGAAGACCAGGCCACTCCCCTCACCAGTGAGTGGGTACACCTGAAAGTTCTGAAAAGAACGTGGTCAAAGTGGTGGAAAGAACCCCTGATGCAGTGAAGGTACAAGGTAAAGGTGATAAATGGTGTACTCCAGCAGAGAACCCTCAAATGACACTCCAGCAAATTAGAACTGATTTGGAGAATCAGTAAATGATTGAGGCTGTCATGATGGTGGGTCTTGGAGGGAGGACTCAGTCGCGGAGATGCCGAAAACGAGGGTTTTATGCCAACAAAAACACACTGAAAAGGAGTGGATGGAAGACATGGTTCAAAACAAGGCTGTGAAAACTATGAGTAAAGTAACAAAGCAAGGTTAACCGGACTATGAACACAAAGTATCAAATAAAGTAAACAAGGTATCAAATCAAGATGAGCAAACTGTGACAAAACATGGCTATGACAAAAACATGGCTGTGGCAAAAACGTGGCTATGGCAAAGTGCAAAAATCAAAACCTTACATGACGTGGGGAGACGAAAGACGAAACAAGGACGAAAACGCACTGGCACAGGACGTGGGAATCGAGGACTATTTAAACACATGAGGGAGGGGAACCCAAGGTGTACACAATAGGTAATCAAGACATGACGAGACACCAGACATTCCCCCAGACGTGACAGAGGCACTTTTTTATAGAAAAGTATGGTTTGTTCTCCAAGGGAAAAGGGCTTACCCGTTCTCCAGGACAATGCCTTCTAGATCTATATGAGAGTCTGAGGACCAAACCACTGGATACATTTTCTTTCTTATGACTTCTATTGCAGTTTTTTTTGCTTATAAGGTTTTACTTAAAGTCTGTGTGATTCTCGTTGATCTCCGTCTGCCATTACCGTTAGAGAAAGTCACCCCTTCCATACAAGATGCCTCCGTTCCAGCAGCAGACCCAGGCTCTCCTGGCTTCTGACCAGATGGTGTGATGTTTCCCATTGATGTGCAAGAGCTTAGCCTTTGCTAACACGAGGGCCAATAGAAGGAGAGTAAATTCCCTTGCAGATTTGATCAGTATATCTTACTGGGTCAGGGATACAGCAGCTAGTCAGACTTCACGAACTGACACGACTTTGTTGTTTGATCAGGGAAAGCTGACCCAGAGTTCTGTAACCTGGATTTCTTTGGTTCATGAAAATACTGTAGATGTCTTAAACAAGAGAAGTCGTAGCATACTACTTTCCTACAAAAGAACACACTTGTTTCAATTTGCCTATACCTTTCCCAGCAACCCAGCAAACATAAAATGCTTGGTAAATACACCTTTACCACTTTACCATTCAGATTATTTAAAAAAAGATTGCCAATCGAGCATTATTGGCAGCTGCTCTCCAACACTTTGCCTTAAGACCATCTATTTAATTAACCAGATTACACTTCCCAAACCCATCGGGTCACGATCAGTTTTCAGAACAGTTTTTGTTTTATTCATGAGGTTTTTGTTTTTTTCCCAAGTTTTAGTTGCAGTTTTTGTATCCAGACAGTTTCAAATTCCTTGGTGTTTACCTAAACAATAAACTGGACTTCATAGAGGAAGTGGGGGAGAAAAGGATGTTGGTTAAGCTGACATCCATCATGGACCACTCCTCTCGTCCCTTTCATGACTTAGTGGGGTCAGCTGAAGGCTGTTACACCCACGGTGTAAGAATGTGCAACTGGGAAGCTGAGGTTCACTGTTTTACAAAATTTTCCATTTCTTTTTTCACAACTTATATTTCTACTTTAGTGTTTGTATCAATATTATCCTTGTGCAGTCTGTAAATGCTTAAAATGTCATTTTAGTGGATTTAACCTTTCCCGCCTTAATTATGTAGAATTTGAACATTACTAATTTAAAAGTGTTCTACAATATGACTGTCTCCACCTCCCCAATATAATTTCAAAAAGGCTTGTATCTTCTTTTCAAGTTCTTCTTGATTGTCCACTATAGTAGAATTGAGTGTCCATTATGTTTTCTGTTTGATGACATTCATAGTGGACAATCCTGCCTTTCTGTGTAATAAATCAGATAATGGTCAGTCAGTCTGTATACTGAATGAAGATAACATTCTTTAATTAGATCTTTAAAAAAAAATACATTTTAAAAATGGGTAAAGATTTGTTTTACATTTTTGCTTTGATATTTTTCAATTGTAACCAGGTAAGAAGCCAGTCTTCGATGTTTGTTTCTCATTTCGAGCAATTCTATTGGCTGCAAAGAACATGGAATAGGCTGCTGAATTCATTGGACATCTATTTTATACTTTGTATTGAAATATATTCTGATTATATATATATATATATATATATACAATATTCTCATAATAAAAAAAAATAGGATTAAAGATAGAATTAAAAACACTAACAGTAACAAATGGCCTTATGTGGCCTGTTCTGTGTTTATTTAAAGATGTAGTGCACTCATTATGTGTGATAAACATCATATTGTGTAAGAGTATGTAACATGTATGTAAAAGATACACATTATGTTATTATGTTAAAATAGAAGAAACAACTGTGAACATGGGAGCATTTTATTAACTATTAGCTTCTGTACAAAGCTTTTTAATTTAGTGATCCATAAATATGACCAGTAGATGGCAATGTTCTCCCATAGGAAAAAAACATTTTTAATCAGCCTGTCATTATCCACCACACAGTACAGGAGGTGGTATGTAGTTGAAGCAGGCACCTTAGGTGACTAATATTCTAAAACTGAGCGCAGGAAGACAGTTTCCAGGGCAAGGAACTGGAAATGACCGTAATGTTAAGTTCATTTGAGCACTTTTAAACAACATACCCAAAAATTGTACATACACAGCACTGATCTACACAGGTTCTTTGCATGTTAATAATGAAATATTCAGGATCAGACTCTTAAAAGGGGGTGACATGCATGCCATTGCATCTTTGAAGATCACACTATGCTTTCGGTGCCCTGTTTCCCTGTATAGTTGCAGAAGGACTCATGAGTGACTATGTTTTCACGAGTTTATGTGCCGATGTAAAGATCTGTGTCTTTTTGTTAATTCTACAAGCTGGACTGTTATGCTTAAAAAGTTTGGGGAAAAAAATAATGTTGAATAAAAGAAAGAAAAAGAATACTGTGAAGAAAACAGCCCAAATGTTGCAGAAAGTTTTTTACTTTAGGCCTATTTTGTTGAAATTGGGAACTGTGTCTCAAACCGAAGGGGTCTGACTTGTGGGGTTCTCCAGGGTTCGATCCTGGGACCCCTTCTGTTCAATCTGTACATGCTTCCATTGGGACAGCTAATACGCAGCCATAATCTGTCCCACCACAATTATGCAGATGTCACTCAGATCTCCATGTTGCTGACAGCAGGAGAACATAGGCCTGTAGATTTATTGTGACGCTGTATTGAACTGATCAGTTTGTGGATGGAGAACAACTTTCTCCAGCTAAACCCAAACAAGCAGAACCAGGAAATACTACCATATCAGTCTAGAGCTCAGGTCTCTGCTCTGGCTTCCTCTGACTCAGAGACTTTAAAACAGCTCTGCTTGTGTTCAAGTCTCTTTATAGGCAAGCACCAAAATACCTTTCTGACATGTTAGAGCCATATGAACCAGCTCGGACTTTGAGAACCTCCGGTTCTGGTCTCCTGATGGTGCCCAGAGTCAGAACTAAACAAGGTGAAGCTTGATTTCAGTTCCATGCTCCTAAAATCTGGAACATTCTTCCTGAAGACGCGAGACCGGCCTCAACTCTGACAATGTTTAAATCCAGGCTGAAAACACTTCTGTTTAACATGTGGAAATTGAATGTATTTTATCTGCACCCTTCACTTTTTATCTAATTTTTATTATTTTTCTTTTCTTGTTTTCTGCTTTTGAAATTCTTTGTGAAGCTATTTGAATTGTCTTGTACACAAATTGTGCTGTACAAGTAAACTTGCCTTGCCTAGACTGAGCATCTCACACTAATTCACTCAATCAAAGCACCTGCACCTGGAAAACCATCACTGATACCTCCATATGATAGGCGTTAAACAACTTTTTCATGATATTTGAAATTTTTGGAAAGAGTCTGTATATATTTATACATACAGGTAATATCTTTGTATTGGTCAGTCCACTTCTGTGGCGACCAAGTTATTTTTTGACTCTCTACCTCACTTCCCAAAACACTGATTTCCGCCTTGGTGAAATTGTGATTCTTTGCTCTTTTCTGAATTGACTCTCTCGTGGTGTTTTGCATTGGCCATTTATGGCTTAATGTGGGCGTGAACATGAGGCAGAACCTTGAACACAAACTGCAGCTGTGACTTAAAAAAGGGGAAATGATGTGATGGTGTGTGGTGCATTGTTTTCTAAATCTAAATAATTATTTTTTTGGCCAATAAAATGTTCAGCTTTTGGGCATACATACACATTGGAGCCATATGAACCTATGCAATCTTTTATAAATGATCTGTTATTTAGTAGGAAGAGGACTGGACCCTCTGAGAATGGTGGTGGAGCAGCAGATATTTTCTGGTCTGGAGAACAACAAACATTCCCTCAACAGGTTTTTATTTTTATCACTGCCATCTAACTTCTGCTTTACTTCTGATTTATCATTATCCGTTCATTTGATTTGAATAATGTACTTATTTAATTTATTCATTTCCTTTAATGTGAAATCTGTGTCAATTTAGGCCACTTGACAATTTAAATTCCTCCGACTGGGGATGAATAAAGACTTTTTTGTTTCAGTTTATTTTGACACTGTCAATCCTGGCCGGAAACCATTTCCACTATATGGGATGATGAAGAAAACGTTGACTTCACATTGCTGAAGGGAGAACTTGCAGTCTTCTTAGATAGATTACAATCCCTTTATACAACCCAAAATAACAACCCAAAACCGTTACACTTAATGTAATTTACTGGATCTCTGATGTTAATGTTTCAGTAATCATTTCATAGTCTTTGTTCCACAATGCTAAATTTGAAAAAAGGGGGGGAAAACAAGGTTGTGATGATATAAAGATTCTCTTATTTGCATCGTACCCATTGTGAGAGGTGCTTCTAGGGCTGGAGTTCAGAGCTCAGATGATGTTTCATTCATATTAAATACAGCGAATAAATGTTCATAAACAAAATGGGTTTACATAACGCTTAACATTTTGTAATGTTTTATTTACTTTAGTCTGTGTTCTGAGTGTTACAAGACTGTTTTAATATGCTATTTTCTTTATTCCGTCTTCAATTTGGGAACACCAGCTCAAGCCTCCTGAACGTGAACTACAAAAAGGTATTTCTCAGCTTCAAGGAAAGTTATCTGACCAAAAGGCATCCGCCCAACTGCAGTTGCAGTTTTTCTACATGTTAAAATCTCATGCTTTGCTAAAAAACAAACAAACAAACAATGTAGTTATTGTTATAAATAATAATTCAAACTTATTATCATCCTTCTTTTGCCCTCCACACGATCTTAACTGTCCGAAAAAATGGCAAAGGGACATGCAAAGGACACAGAATATGATCTTTTTACAGAGAATAGCTTCACAGGCTTATATATATATAGATAGAGACCATCAGAAACTACTAACTGAAGACAAGCACTGGCTGTGGGTTACTGGGGTTTTAGGATGTGCTCCTCCATAAAGCAGGCTGTTAGTATCCCGTGACAACATAGTATCTTATTAAAAAAAAGACCCAGAAGAGTTTGTTCTTGCTGCGTTTCATGTTTCAGTTCAGGCGTGGGTTCTCAGAGTTCCATCAACTCGTTCCTCATTCCGTCCGCGGAAATATGCGTCGATGCCACATTCGGTTTAGTTTCGAAGCGTTTGTGAACTCACAGTCTGCCGGATGTTGCCAGATGTTGCTATCCCACCGAAGGCTCCGTTAAAGAGTTACCTGTAACCGTGACGTCTTCTGAGTGACCCGGCCGAGCGTCCAATGGGACGCGTCTGTGCAGGTTGGGCTATTTGTGCAGCACTCTGAACACTACCCTGACTTGTAGCAGCGGAAGGAAGAAGCTTTGCGTGGAGCTGGAGCTGTGGCGGGCGAGCGGGGTCCCTCAGGCGAACTTCTTCTTGGTGGCCGTAAAGCGCTCCATGTACTGGGAAAAGGGGGGACGACAGAGACGGTCACACATAGGCTGTAGGGATGGGACGGTTTTCTGAAAACCTTTCCGAACCGTTGGGTTGGACTGTCTCGGTTCGGTTCGCGTGTGTTGGGTACGGTTCATGCTGTTCCTTTTTCTCAGAGGGAAGCGTTTACACTCCAGAGCAGAAGGGGGCGCTACTGCGCCCAAAGCCAACCACCAGTAGGAAACAAGAAGAAGAAGAAAGCAGCGTAGCCAATAAAAATCAGACGTGCCAACAGCAGTTTCTAGGTCTGCTGTATGGACCACTTTGCATTTAGAGGGAAGCACATGTTGGAATTAGCACTATTTCCTCTCTTGCAATGCCAGAATCTCACCTACTTTTAACCTAAGACTGTCACAATAATGTATCAAATGTCAGACTGCTTTTTTCTTTCAGTTTCAACCCGACTATACAAGACGTAATAGATTTTCCTAACAATCAACATATACCGAACCGAGCCGAAAACCGTGACCACGAAACCGTGAATCGAACCCAACCGTGGATTTTGTGAACCCTCCCACCCCTAATAGGCTGAGACCGCGGAGCTGCGAGACCCCCGGAGAGGACGGGACTGACCTTTTCGTAGCCTTCCAGCTCCCGGAGCCGCTTCACCTCGAACAGGTTCCCCTCCACCGAGAACAGGGACACCTGAGAGTCGGTCAGGATGGCGTGAGGGATGGAGGACAGCTCCAGGCAATTCTCCTCCAGACGGAGGACCTTTAGGCGCGGGCAGCGAGAGACCTCCACAGACACCGCGGAGATCTGGACAGAGGAAAAATAACCGTCACGTTAATTAGATTCAATGAAATTGTATTTATATAGCGCCACATCACAACAACAGTTGTCTCACAGCTTTCCAAACAGAGCAGGTCAGACCCTACTCTTAAGTTAATTACAGAAACCCAACAATTCCCACCATGAGCAAGCACTAGGCGACACAGGCAAGGAAAAACTTCCTTTTAACAGGCAGAAACCTCAAGCAAAACCATGGCTCAGGGTTGGCGGCTATCTACCTCGGCTGGTTGGGGGTGAGGGAAAGAGAGGGCAAGAGAGAGAGAGAGGGACAGAGGGAAAGAGAGAGGCAGCCAACACAGCAACACGTAACGTTAGCAGTTACCATGAAAGAGTTTCAAGGAGGGGCTTCCTGAAAGCAGCAGACAAAGCCAAACAAGAAGCATGCTCAGTTTTGGAATAGCTTGGCCTTCTTTTCCACAGCTGGGAAAGCAGGTTTAGCTCCCTGTGTTGCAATCAGAACCACTTGACAGAGGAAGAGAGAAACAACCGGGCGTACCTGGTTCTGGTTCAGGTTGATCTCTATGGCCTGCAGCTCCGACACCGCTGCGGGTACGTTTTGGATTTTGTTTCGCGACAGGTCCAGAACGTCCAGGTGCCTCAGCGTGCCGAGTCCCAAGGGGAACTCTGAGATCCGGTTCCCGGCCAGGCTGAGGGTCCGCAGCGCTTTGAGCTGGCCCAGGGAGGGCGGCAGCTCCTGGATCAGGTTCCCGTTCAGACTCAGCGTCTCCAGCTTCTTGAGCTTCCCGATGTCTCCGGGGAGGCCAGCTACGAAGCACAAATCAGTGTGAAGAGGCGCTAAAAGCTAAAAGCTAAAAGGCTGAAAACGCCCGCAGGGAATCCATTACTCACTCAGCCGGTTGGAATTCAGCGTCAGGCTTTTCAGTAGCAGGAAGTTCCCGATGGAGGGAGGGAGCGTCTGGATCTTATTTCCCGACAGATCTACCGTTCTGAGGTTGGAGGTGAGCCTCTGCAGCTCCTCTGGAAACTGGAACCAAACAGACACAGCGACACGCGTCAAACCACCTCCACAATCGGAAATACGGTTACATTTCACCGCCTTCTCTTTGCCCACGTTCCGCTTCAGAACTGGGAGCGGAGGACTGGAGCTCAGCCACCTTCACCATTTTGCTGAATACTCCCAGTTTTCCCGTGGCTGCTTCAATGTTTACTGTGATTTCTATGTGTGCGTGGCAGGATCATTGTCACACTGCTTCGAACCACTACAATAGTAGCATAACTTCATTAGGCGGTCAGGACAAAATACAGCAAGCATTAGGGGTGGGACGGTTCACAAAATCCACGGCTCGGTTCGATTCACGGTTTGGTGGTCACGGTTTTCGGTTCGGTTGGGTATATGTTGATTGTTAGGAAAATCTATTATGTGTAGTCAGGTTAAAACTGAAAGAAAAAAGCAGTCTGACATTTGATACATCATTGTGACAGTCTTAGGTTAAAAGTAGGTGAGATTCTGGCATTGCAAGAGAGGAAATGGTGCTAATTCCAACATGTGCTTCCCTCTAAATGCAAAGTGGTCCATACAGCAGAACTAGAAACTGCTGTTGGCACGTCGGATTTTTATCGGCTACGCTGCTTCGCTCTTTCTTCTTGTTTTCTACTGGTGGTTGGCTTTGGGCGCAGTAGCGCCCCCTTCTGCTCTGGAGTGTAAACGCTTCCCTCTGAGAAAAAGGAGCAGCATGAACCGTACCCAACACACGCCAACCGAACCGAGACAGTCCAACCCAACGGTTCGGAAAGGTTTTCAGAAACCGTCCCATCCCTAGCAAGCATGGGAGAGCAGAGTAACCTGTGCTCCTCTGGTCATGACATCTCCACTAGTGCAGAGTTTTAGATCAAACCTGGTAACACGCCAACACCCCTCACCTCCTGCAGCCCTTTCCCCGTCAGCTGGAACACCCCCGTCTTCTGGGAGGTCTCCAGGTGAGACTTCAGAGCGCTGTTCCCCATCTGGATCCGCAGCGATGTTCCGTTCTACAGCGGCAGGGGTGGGTTCATGCTCGGGGGGGGGGAACGATGAAGGACAAGCCGCCGGCGCTCAGAGCCCCCTCTCTTCCTCTTTGCTGATCCAATCACAAGCGACCAGCTTTAAACACAGCTGTGAAAACATCAAAAGATCCATTCAGATTTGTAAGTGCTTCAGGTATGGTCTGGGACACGTAAACCAGAGCTATTACTGTAGAAATGTCATGTAAAACAGACAAACTTTGCCAAAACCCTTCCTCAGGGTTAGTCCATCTGTGTCAAAACAATTGTTATGGTCACATGAGTCTCACAGACATCTGTCCAATCTTTTGTTTGTTGTCCAACACAGCCCGGTCTGTGTGACGTAGGCTAAAGTCTTAGCTGCGAGAAAAAGGCAGGTCACATCCAATAATGAGCCTTAACTGAGACATGAGGAAACTTTATACATAAACTTTATGTTTGTATATAACTTTAAAGCGGTTTGGTTCATGACCCTCCTGCCAGCATGATGCCCAGACCCATACTGGTAATGTGGTCCCTGAATAAACAGCTAAAAAAACACAAGAAAACATTAATTATCAATTAAATCTGACTATTTTTTTGTCATCTGAACGTGGAAAGAAGTGATCCGTCATTTCTCACAAACACAAAAACGCTTGTACGTCTCAATGTGACCAACAAAAGCCCCAGTGTTAGCCTACAACCCCCTCCGAAAGCCAGAAACAGCCGTGCTCTTAGCTGCTGCCTCTCGGCGTAAACAGATATCTGCAGATCAGCGTGCAAACCTACGCTGGCTGGGTTAGAGAGATAACCCCGCTGTTTTTAACCAATCCTGTTAGAACAGACTGCAGCAGAGGGCAAAAAAAAAAAGGCTAAATGCATGGAAATAATGTGGGGGTCAGACTGTTAAATCAACAGTTTCCTGTTGTAGAAACAATACACCTCAATACACATCTGGAGTATTTCTGGAGCTGTATGGCATGGTTCAGATGAAATGCCATCTCTGTGCAAAGGCTGGCCACTGGCTCTGATCCATGAAGAGTCAGGTCCATCTGTGTTTCTCCAACAAATGGCCGTGTGGAGTTCAGGGTCCAGGATGGGTGTGGGTTCGACGGGCATCCTGCTCAGCTCGGGCCTGTCTTCAAAACAGGCCGGGGCTCGTGTGTATTTTCCCATAACTGAGCTCAACCTTCACGTGAAACACTCGTTCAGCACTTCAACGACTGATACAGTCACAACACGGCCGGTTTTCTCTAAACTTTCAGAAAAAAAGGTACTGGCTAAACAGGAGCTGCTTAAGCTAGGCTAGCTTGTTAACAGCTATAGTGACCGAGGCTTAACGGAAGTAGGTCGGTTTAGTTTTACTTACGTCTGAGCGGAGAGTGATCCAGATCTTTAAATAACCCCTTATCACGGAGATCTCATCGAAATTAGAAAATGTGATTTAAATTACTTGGAGCGACCGAAGGCGTCGCTGACACTGGTTGATCCGGACTTGCTTTGACGTCAGGGTAACGTAAATTGTACTCTCGCGAGATCACAGCGCTGCATTTTATACTTCATGATTTTTTAAGCTTTTGATAAAAAGCAGGGATTGGCGAATCTTCAAATTCACTTTCAAATAGTTTTTATGTTCAATACTATACAAGCTGAAACTTAAACATATATTTTCGAACTGAAAAAGCTTTTTTTTTAAATGAAAATTCGTCAGGATCCAAAAAGTACAGTTGCCTTTACTCAAGATGATAGAGCTATCATCACCTGGATGGCTGAATTTACACCAATGTATGTTGAGCATCGTGTTTAAAAACATCTTTAACATCGGAGGAAGTTGTTTTTGTTATTTTAACATGAATCAACTATGCTTGCTTTTTTTGTTGGCCTTGAGACATGATGGCATATCATTTCTTATTTTTTTAAGTTCAGCCATAGGTATTTTTTAAATAGTTTAAGGTTGTTTTTATTTATATGGGAAAGCTAATGAGGTAAATTTCCCTAACTTTTGTAGCCGAGCGTTCTGTGTTCGTTTTATACAGTGAAACTACCTATATGTATTTATATAGAAAATTAATTAATTAATACTATGAGGGATAGTCTTGTACTTTTGATCAAACGGTCTCTAAATTGTGCCGTATCTTTTCATTTGTATTTGCTAATGTTGTTTAGTTTACTCTATATACATTGTGGTCGCGCCTATGCCGAAACGGAAGTGACGTCACCTGGCGCCAAAAGATGCGGAAATGAAAGTTTGTTTTTGTGTCCTTTTGCTAAACTGGAATGTGATTTTGGACGAAGCTCTGTGTATGGTAGGAGTGTTTGTCAACTTATGCAGATCATTTCCAGGGTGTTTCTTTTTGGTTCTATGTGCCTAATAATTTAAAAAACTGGCAAACATTGTTTTTTGTCATAGTGTTAACGACAAACGAAATTGGTGGGAATGGCCGCTACCTAGAAAAAAAAAACAAAAGCTTAGCCAGTTTCCACATTTTGTTTTCGTCTCAAAAATATTTTTCACTTACGTCAAGAGGTATTGAAAGTTACCATTTAAAATAGGACATGTACATTTCAATATAAACAACCAAATCAGTGTTTTCAGTTCAAGTAACTGCATTTTTTTAAATGAAGGCGTGAAAAATACATAGAGGTTTGAAGGACATTTCTTTCCCCTCGTTAAAGAAATTATAATAATTGTGTAAGAGCTGAAACTTTTTCCACAGCACATTATCCACAAGTCAGTTTCTAGTCTGAAACAACACCAACATACCCCTTTTTTTTTTTTTTTAGAAGGAGCTGTAACCTTCTATTTTTGCTGCCAGGAGGAAAGTTGAAGTATCATTTCTTCTAATTAGGATGAACTGTTCAGAAATTTGTCATGAAATGTTAAAGGTACGTTTAATAATTCATGCAGATGACATAGGAATGTGATAAAGTGTGTGGATGTTGACCGTGAAGACGTGTATCTACTGTAACAGAGAGAAGGAGAATCTGTGGGCACACCCAGAGAGTTTAACACAAGATTATAGTTCTAAAAGTAATAAAATAATCAGTAATTTACATGGATTATGTGTTAGCATAATCCATGTTTCACTTTCTAGGCAGGTCATACTGCTATATTTAAACAAAATCCTGAAAATCTGAGGAAAACATTGATTAGATTAATATTTAAAAAAAATATTTTTAAGAAAAAAGTTTGGCATCTCTCAGATGTGTTTAAAAGCTTTTATGCTGCAGCATAAAAGCCTTGATTTGTCTGGTAGATTTGTCAGGGTTTTTTTTTAATGCCAAATACCCTTCCTGAACAAACCCTTACATTTATCCCGACTAGGGCACAAACTGGACATAGAGTGCTGCATTGCAGGGTTTCAGTGTCTCACCCAGGGACACTATGACCACCCCTAAAAGAAACAAAAAAAGCCCTAAATGAGATCATCAAAATTCTTATGTAAGGTTTTGACAGTAGGCTTAAAGTAAAAGCAAAAGCCAAAGCTTTCAAGAAACTGGAAATGTAATAAGATGTCAAAAACCACCATTTCTAAAGGAAATGACTAAAACAAATTTAAAAACAATATTAAATTTAAAGGTAAAAAAGTGAGTTTTCAGGTGGGATTCAAACACTGTGCAGGAAAAATGTTCAAGTTTTGGATTTTTAAGTGGAACTGTTTGGTCAAATAATTGGGTTTTGAATCATTTTAAAGTCTGAGTTGGAACGGACACCTATAGTAGACCTTTTAAAAGTATATTTTTATGGACTCTGTGACCTGTTTAAAGGCAGGACATGGAGAGATGAGTGTCAGGATGAAAATATAAGGAGACATGACTCCCTTTTTTCACTAGGTCCTTTTTAAAGGAAAACAGCTTGGGCAACTTGAGATTGCCGATTAATAATTGATCCTTACAATTATGTTAGTTGCTTCCCTAATTTAAAGGAACAATCTGGAAAAATAAGATTTCTAACAGGGCACAAATATCTGATCTAAAGGGAAATGATTGCCAAATACAAATGTCCTATGAAGGGAAAATGGACTCAGTATAGTTGCACATGTATAAATCATATTGTGTGTGCTTTAGTGTGAACTGAACATGGAAAGTAAATGCACACATTCCAAACCATTTGCGGTTTGGAAACCTAGAATAAGAACATTTCCTGTTCCTAAAAACAATTCAGAGCTTTTGTTGTTAAGATATAAAATACGTTTCTTATTGAACCGGGAGTTCTTTTGTGTTTTTTTTTAGATGCACCAGTGGGATTTGTCTCCATTTTCTGTGACTCCAGCTGCCAGGCTGCTGTCAAGATGCGTGTCAGTCGGAGCCGCAAGTCAGGTATGGACGTCCGTCTTTATCCTACCGGTAAAGTATTCGCCCCTTTACTTCCCTGGGTTCAGCCTCCAGAAAGCTGGCGTCCAGAGCAGACCCCTTTTCTCACAATCTTCAACAAAACAGTGGATTCATTCGGGTTTTGTGGGGGAAAAAAAAGGGAAAACTTACTTATCGGCACTCGTGTTACGGCCAAATGACACAAAATAAATCCCTCGATATCGCAGACTCCTACAGACATAATCGTCTGTTGGTTTTCCTCTCCGCAGGAGGAAATCGACTCCGCTTTCTCCCACGCAAGCCCCTCCTTCTCTCCCCACCTGGAAGAAGCCGTGGAGCGAAGTAGCATGCAGAAACAACTGGATGAGGTAAAGATTCTGTCACTCAGAGTACCTCCTGATCAGAGATGTTCAGTAACGAAGTAGAGCTACTTAAGTACTGTACTTAAGTACCAAAATGAAGTATCTGTACTTTATTGGAGTAGATATTCTTTCCCCTACTTTTACTTTTACTCCACTACATATTTTTGATCATTTCAATACTTTTACTCCGATCGATTTTTCACGGGCTGAATGGTTACTCGTTACTGATACGTAAACGTAATGATAGATAGCTCTGTCACGGTTTGGGAAGCTGGCTCCTCATTGGGCGATTTGAACGATCAAGCATAGCCTATTAAAAAAAAAGCCTCCCGAAAGATCGTTAATTATAGCCTCCAAAAATTCCCCATCGAATCTGAAGCTAAATTAAAAAATACAATGAAATATAAGCTAATAAATAAGCGCTAGTTCAGTTCTCTCTGTTCACTCAGGACGTAGCAGCTAATGTTAGCTAAAGCTAACCTAGCTGGCTAGCTGTATGCTACATTGCTAGCATAAAGGCTCAGCTCAGGATTCTGACTCTGGAATGATAAATAATAGTAGATGAAGTGCTGTTGCAAATTATACACAGTACTTGTACTTTTACTTATACTTGTACTTTTGATACTTGAGTAGCAATTTTTGAAATACTTCTACTTGCAATACTTAAGTACAAAAAAATGGAGTACTTCCATACTTCCACTTAAGTAGGGTGTTGAAAGAATACTTCTGCTTTTACTCAAGTAATTTTTTTTTACATAGTACTTGTACTTCTACTCCACTCCTCTACTCCAGTACTTTTAAACATCTCTGCTCCTGACCTGGTCTACTGCTGGATTATCGGCTCCTTGTTTAATGCAGCTTCACCAAAATCCCACATCATGTGGGGAAAAAGACTTTGTAAGTGCACTAACATGAAGTAAGAGTATCCATAGTTACGATCAAAGGAGTTCAAGAATCGGAGGGATTTTCCGTCAACAATTTTTTGGGCCCTCTGAGCAATTCGAGATCTCTTGAATGATTGTGTGGTTTCTCCATGGAGGGCAAACATGAGCGCATTAATGTTTTGTCTTATCGATTAAGTTTCAGCTGCAGTTGGAGCTCCTGAGGATTGATGAGCAGAGTGCGGACATTTTCCATGTTTTCCACCTGGGTGAGTCAGGTTTTTCAGCCCATTTTGGCTCCGTGGTGGAAGTTTTTGTCTCTGAAAAGTGAAGATACAAACAGCGCTGTGGGATGGTGTGGTGCTTGGGACTGTCTCCTCACAACCGGGCGGTTCCCAGCTCTAATTTCATCTGGGTTCTCTCTATAGAATAGAATAGAAGGCTGTTATTGTCATTGTACAACAACCAGAGCTACATGAAGTTGCCGTGTGGTCTTCATAAGTCCTAATGCTACGAAGAAACAAAAAGCTATATAGATACCAACATCTTCAGGGCCTTGCATACTAAAAAACAACAACTAGACGAGACCGACTACATGTAAGCTAACATAAGCTAGCATGTTTTTGGCCTGCGAGTGGAAGCACCCGGAGGAAAAATCCCGGCATAGACAGGGAGAACCTTCAACCTCCACAAAGAAAGAACCAACCAGGGAGCGTCTGACTGTGAGGAGATACAGCTAACCACCAAAGCGTTACCTTACCGGGCCTGTCAACTAGGGTTGTCAAAAGTATCCATACTCGAAAAAGTATCGATACTAAAATGTTGTATCCGGATACGATGCTCATTTTCAAAAGTATCGATACCACCCCTTCTCTCTGATTTATTTATGTATTTATTTACGTTGTTTATGGTCATTAACAAGACGTTAGCCTTGCTAGCTGCGGCTAATGGCTAATAATAACACGCTACCATTAATCAAGTACATATCCAACTCCGCCCACATCCAAGTCGGCCATTTTGATTAGGTCACCAATAGGAAGATCCCAGGCAAGAAAATCCTAATTGCTTCATGGCAATATCGACATTAATTTAAAAATAGTGAAATGAATCTTTCAAACACTGAATTAAACTCTATACATATTATGTTAAATTAGTGTATATTAAATCGGTTTGTACAATAAGTCCAAACAAGTTTGACCAAAATATTTATTTCTCATATTTATGAAGGCTGGAGGGTTAGGGTTAGGGTCAGGGTTAGGGTCATTAATGTGGGCCACCAGTCACCATAACATCAGTACCAGGTCAGTTTGAGATGAAAGACACAATTCAGTTCAATTTTGGGGTCTTTGTTTTTATCCTTGTGGTATCGAAAACGGTATCGAGTAGGCATGGCAAGATTCACCGATGCGTATCGGAACGACCTGTGCGATACGGTTGCATCGATTTGCAAACGTCTGCATCGGTAAAAAACGCACATAAACTGGAGATGCATCGTATAAAACTACCTGCATCGATACAAACCGATTATTATCTTCTATTATTATAACTTTTTAGAAACGTGTCTTTGAGTTTTAGTTGCGTTTCTTGTAAAGTTTCAGAGAGACAATCACTCTCTAAGTTGCACTTCCTTTGTTTCAAAATAAAAGGCACAGTTAGCTTGCGTGCCATAACTTGAACTACGTAGTCCATGGTGTACTTTTCTTCTGCATTGCATCGCATTGTATCGTATCGTATCGTATCGCACTGTATCGCAGCATTTTAAATTTAGATCGTTCTGTATCGCACCGGATCGCAGGAGGTTGGAGAATCGTATCGAATCTTATCACTAGAAATTCCATGAATCGTGAATGTATCGAATCGTTGGCTGTGTATCGAGATGTGTATCGTATCGCCTTGGTGGTGAAGATTCCCATCCCTAGTATCGAGTATTTTCCTGAGTATCGGCATCGAGTTGAAAATTTTAGTATCGTGACAACCCTACTAACGTGAAAACTAACGTGAAACCCCGCAGCCCGGAAGACGGAGGAGCTCCAGAGGCTGGGGAGGCACCTGACCAGCCTCCTGAGGGAGCAGACGCCGCTGCGCCAGAGGCTGATGAAGCCCCTGGCCCACACCAGCCTACCGGTCCAGGCCCACCAGCACAGGTAAGGGGCCCGTCGCCACGGCAACCCCGACCCGTGCCCAGTGTTGGGGAGTAACGGATTACATGTGACGTCACGTCATTTAATTACAAAAAAAAAGAGTGACTGTAATTCGTTACAGTTACCATGAGAAAATATGTCATTCAGTAACAGTTACTTCCGAGAAATATTAAGCATTACGAATTTAGTTAAATTTTTTTTTTAAATATACCTTCGCGAAATATGCAACTCACTGATAGGCGGAGCGTATTGATTTACTAATATTTGACTGTTTGGTGTTGATGCGTGACAAACGTTTATCGATGTCTATGACCTAGCCTAGCCTAGACTACCTAGCCTACCCAACTGTAGGGTGACCATACGTTCTCTTTTTCCCGGACATGTCCTACATTTCAGACTAGGGTTGTCATACTTAAAAAAGTATAGATACTAAAATGTTGTATCCGGATACGACTGACTTGTCTCCGATTTATTTACGTATTCATTTACGTTGTTTATGATCACTAACAAGACGTTAGCCTTCAACTGCTAGCTGCGGCCAATAGCTAATAATAACATGCTAAAATTAATCATGGGTCAATACTCATTAAAACCTTAAAGTAATCAAAAAGTAATTGGTTACATTACTTTTTAAAAGTAATCGAAAAAGTTACACTACAATTACATTTCAAACGAGGTAACTTGTAACTGTAACGGATTTCATTTTTAAAGTAACTTACCCAACACGGCCTGCGCCGTGTTTCCAGGTTCGTGGTGGACTCCGTCAAGCTGATGATGGACTTCATCGAGACTCTGGAGGAGAAGCTGAAGTCGGCATACAACCACGCCAAAACCCCCGAGGCCACCGCCCTAATGGTCAGTCGCCATTTTAGCTCACGCCACAAGTCTCCTGTTCTTCTAAAACAGACCAGGAGACCAATCACGTGCATGGGTCTGGAGCTGCCCGTTTCTCACGAAAACAAACATTCCAGCAAAAAAAAAGGCAACATTCCTTGGGTTTAGATGATTAGTTTAACCCTAACCCTAACCCTAACCCGAGAGGACAACGTCCTAACAAATAGAGCCACGTTAGGCTTCAGTGATGTGTCACCTGGTTTAGATTCTATGGCTTTACAAGCTAATAACTGAAAGTTTTACGGCCTTTTGACCGTTTGGGTTCAGGATCTGTGTTTTTTGTCTGAGACTCATAGTGTCTCTCTCTGTGTCTGCACCATAAGTCTGTTCTGTATGTCTCTGTTGAGTTATTTCCTCAATTAGAGTTAATTTTGACACCGTTTGTTCCTTCTCTGTGATCACAATTCAACCGCACACTCTGCGCAGTTCCTTTTGTTTGCCTTCTATGAAAATTGAATATACAGTAATCCCTCGTTTATCGCGGGGGTTACGTTCCGAAAATGACCCGCGATAAGTGAAATCCGCGAAATAGAAAACTTTTTTTTTTTTTTTTTACAATTAGCAACTATTACATGTATACAAATACAGTGTCGCTCTTTTTTCTTCTTTGCAAAAAGATCCTTGTACACCGACATGCCACCATCGATTACGTTGGAGAACTGTAATGAAGGGCTCATCAAAGGGTTCCACTCCTCAGCTACTCGCTTAAGTTCAGTGGCCATTCGCACCATGGTTGCTAAGCGACCAAGCGTTAGTCCTATGTTTTGATACAAGAAGCGGGAGTGAGTTTTTAGCGAATCAGAATGCAGAGCACAATGCACCAAAAAAAAAAAAAAGCATTATGAAAATCCGCGAAATAGCGAATCCGCGATAAGTGAACCGCGAAGTGGCGAGGGATCACTGTACTTTATTGATCTCCAGGGAGAAATGGACTTCCTCTCCCTGGAGATCAACGAAGCATATTCGATAAAGTATATTCAAAAGTGTTCCAGTCTCTTCTCGTCCAGGGGTTGGCTAATGGGGTTCCTCTCCCCTTTGCATCAGGACGCGTCCTGCGCCCTGCTGCTGAGTCTGGCCACAGAGGCGGAGACTGTGTCCAGTCGGGTCCTGCAGTGGAGGAAAGTCAGCAGCAGCACATCGCAGATTGACTCTATTAATTAAATTAGATGTGGTTGCAGTGACTTGTGTTGCTGTTCTGTGTTTTAGACGTTCACGGCTTCCCGTTACCCTGACTTCAGCCAAACGTCCGAACCTGGAGGGCTTCGATTCCTCTTCTGTGGAACAGTCTACAACAGTAACGTAAATCCCAATACATCTCTGTCTCAGAAAGTCTGACTTTCCGCGTAAAAATTTAAATGAATCCCCTGCTCCATAGACATAGATTGACTAACTATTCCCTGATTAACAGAAACAGGATGGTAACCAGACAGCATTCCTTTTTCTGTGAACACACAGTTGTATGTCTTATTTTTTTTAGCTGTTGAAGTCACCTAAACACAATCGTCTGTGTATCTGTGATGATGGGAACTCAGTTAAATAGAGCATAGATCTTCAGAATTGTTCTCTAATGTGCGAGTTCTCTAAATATGTCGTTTGTTTTTGCGGTTGCTTTTCTGTATTTTTGGGTTTGCAAATGTGGAAATAAACGTGGACTTGACCTGAGCTGGCTCCTGCTGTCTTACTGCTCCAGGTGAGATTTTGGTTTGTAGATGACTTCCGTTTGGCCTCGGGAACCTTCTATAAAACCATTCTGTATTCTTATGAGGCTTTAGATAACTCAAGAAAGCCGTGAAATTGAACGTGTGCACAGATAAACAGGGAAAAAAAGTGCACATGACATAAAAAATAGATATATCTATATCATTACACCTAAAAACCTTTTTCCGACACGTTCAATGTTATTTATTTAATTCAAGGTGTACATTATGGTGGTGAACCAGATGGCAAAATATGAGTGAATCCGTGTTTAAGCGTGATATTTAAATTTAGCAAAAAGTGGTCAGTGACTTACATGTTGAATCAACGTTAGGGTTTCAACCATAACTGATACTACTATATCAATTCTGACTCAGCCATCATCTAAATGGTAATTAATGGACAAAATAGGAATATTATGGGCAAATCTCACCAACTCTAATACAGCCTATATATATATGTGTGTAAATATATATATATATGTATGTATGTGTACACACATATTTTTCTTATTTTTTATGTGTTAATTATCTTTACTGTGTTGTAGTACATTAAATTGAAAATATACATGTAAGCGTTTCACACTGTCTGTGTCTCGTAATTCGTAATTTCATAATGGGCACGGTGTCATATTTTTTGGGGGAAATTATATATTTTTTCTTGTTCTCATCAGCTCTAAAGCTGCAGGGCTGAGTTTCTTTTGCCCGGATCCAGACCCCCCCCCCCCTCCTGCAGCATCCGTTACCATGGCGACCCGGCCTTACGGTAGTTGCCTCGGAGCTGAAGTTCACCCTCCGTCCACCAGAGGGAGACGCACGCAAATAAGAAGAGCGTCACGTACGTCAGAAGATCGCTGGTGCGCATGCGCGCGGGGCGATAAACAAACCAGCATGGTGGCACGGAATCCGGACGGAGGCGATGGGCAGTGAGATCAAAACAGAGATAAAGATGGAGGCGGTGAAGAAAGGCCTGGCTGGACTTTCTCTGGAGGCTCACGGTGAGGGCAACCCCACTGACCAGTGTCCGAACTCAGCTTTTGAATCAGAAAGCACACGTAAAAGCACAGCCATTACGCATGAGCTGATCGATAAGTGTGGGCTGACTTGTTTATCCCCCTTTCAGAGCTCTACCTGAACCGGTCCGTGCCGTACCTGGACGGGCCCCCGGACCCGCTGCGGTTCTACCGGGACTGGGTCAGCCCCAACAAGCCCTGCGTCGTCCGGAACGCGCTCGGCCACTGGCCGGCGCTGTCCAGGTGGAGGCCGGACTACCTCAGGTGACCGTAGTGTGGACTTTGTGAAGGAAGGAAAAAAAAAAAAGGCTGCTGAAGTCTTTTGAAGAAAAACAAACGTTTTATTAAGTGGTGTGCAGTGTGTTTCAGAAACCAAAACCCTGTGCACACGTCATAGATGACGTCACAGCATGCTCCTGCTCTATTGCAGTGTTTTTTTTTCAACCTTTTTTGAGCCAAGGTACAGTTTTTCATTGAAAAAATCACGAGGCACAGCAACCAAAAATGTCAAACAAATCTGTAGCCGCCTATAGTAACACTAAAGTTATTTTTTATTTTATTCTTATCTTATCTTAAGTGTCTTGAATAGGAATCAAAAAGACACAAAAATGTATTTTTTATCATATTTTATTTATATATTTCTTCTTTCAAATTGCACTTAACATGTCCACTTCAATATACAAAATTATATACAAAATCTAGTCATAAGGAATTATTACATGATTACGCCACCAGTCACTAGAACAGCACACACACTCAAAAATGGCATATTATTTGCAGATAATTAATTCCTTATCAAAAAGTCTTTTTAGACCAATTAGGTGAAATAAGATGATTTTCTACGGTACACCAGACCATCACTAGTGTACCGAGGCACAGTGGTTGAAAAACACATGAACATGCTTAATTTATAGCACGTTTATTAATGATGTCATGTAGATGAAGGGGGCCATGTTACACAGTAACGTTTCATATCGGGTAAAGTGATGAGTCATGTTCAGTCCAAACTGAATCCATTTGGAGTGCGTACCCCACATTGTTCCCCATTGTTCTCTGTCGGAACAATGCTGGAAAAAATGTATACACACAACCTATAATCTGAGGACTGATATGATTTACCTGACGGTGGTTAAAGAGTATAGATTGTTTGAATTTTGCCACCGTGGTGGAATTCTTCAAATTTGTTTCACTCAGTTGGCTTGAAAAACACACACACACACACACATATATATATATATATATATATGTGTATATACAGTGGGGGAAATAAGTATTTGACTCCCTTGCTGATTTTGCAGGTTTGCCCACTTACAAAGAATGCTTATTTTTCCTCATCAGATGGTTATCAATTTTTATTAATTCATATGATGTGATTTTCTGGAATTTTCTTTGGGATTCTGTCTTTCACTGTTAGAATGTACATATGATTAAAGTTATAGATCGTTGCATTCTTTATAAGTGGGCAAACCGGCAAAATCAGCAAGGGGTCAAATACTTATTTCCCCCGCTGTATGTATATATATATATATATATATATATATATATATGCACAGTAACAAATAGTTCTTGCAGAAAATGGCACAAAGCGGCCGAGAAAAACTCTGTTTTCACACAGAGGAAGTGACCGGTCATGCCCTCAGGCCGGGCTCGGCCTGCTCAGATATAAGACAAATCTCAATGTCCGGCGCGCTGTCCGCAGAGAAAAGCTCGGCTCAAAGGAGGTGAGCGTGGCGGTCACTCCTAACGGCTACGCCGACGCCGTCCAGGGGGATCGCTTCGTGATGCCCGAGGAGCGGCGGATGAGTTTCTCCTCGGTGCTGGACGTCATCGAGGGCAAGGTGAGCCGGACCGGAGTGTTCTACGTCCAGAAGCAGTGCTCCAACCTGCTGCGCGAGCTGCCCGAGCTCCTGGAGGACCTGGAGCCCCACGTCCCCTGGATGAGCTCGGCTCTGGGTGAGCCCACGTCAGACTTAGACCTAGACTTGTACTTTATCCATCCCTCGGGAAATTAACTCATTGACTGGCGGCCATTTTCAGAACAGAGTCCCATACTGCCAGAGTTTTTTGAGCATTTTGACTGATTCTTCAAGAGCCACAGAATAGTTTGTGCTATGACTATGTAAACACCGAACACACCGAAAGAAAGTGTAGACTCTCTTCTTTCACCAGGAAAAATGTTTTGTTTCTACCTTATTCCGTTCTTCTTCGACGTGCGTCTCACCGGCGACATGTTCTCTCATAGCGAACCGTTACCTTTTTCTTATTTGCCTACAGTCTATGCTCATCTCCCATCAAAAGTGGCACTGCCCCCTAGAGGGTCAATTTGTTACTACATACTCTGTCTAGAAGCCTGATATTTACGGACAAGCTTTAGCAGATCGTCCCCCAGCCACTCTCGTTGAAAAACATAAAAGACGTCTATAGACGTTTTTGGCAGCCAATGAGTTAAGGTTACCAGCAGCTTTCGGGGCAAAAAAGTATTAAGTTAAATTAAATTAAATTAAGCAAAAAAAAAATACAAAAAATACAGATTAAGTACAGTGTATATAATAGGAGTTGTGTGTATGTGATATAGGAGTTTGGCGGATAGATTGACCAGTGATATGGTTTGCACTATGTGGTTTGGCCTCATAAATATGGAGTTCACATTTTACAGAAAAATACAAGCGTTGCGACTCCTTCCCCCTGTCCTGTGTCACCCCCCCTCCCCCCCATGATTGTTTAATGGTGATAAAGGCCCTAAAATAAAGCAAGAAAATAGAACATGACGATTTGAAAGTCTGAAAACCAACAACCTAATGAAAATATGTTTTCCCCAGTCTAAGGTCTTTTAATACCTAAGGGAACATTACGCAATAATCAACATTTAAACAGGCAGTTTTTATCTTGGCAGTACCTTGGTCTTTTGTGATTGGACATCGGTCAGTATTTGGTAAACAGCAGTGCAGTGTAGAAGGCCAAACCTCATGATCAGCTCAGGTTAAGAGCTATTTCACATCAATTCAATTCAATAAAGACAGTGGTGGAGGCCACAAAACACCCTTAAATCCCAATATTTAAAACTAGTAAATGAGCCACAGGAGTACATATGATAACACAGGTACAATAGAACACTATCAATCGTGCACTACTGCTGGCAAAATTCTAAAATGATTCCATTAACGCCATCTTTGAACACAGTTGAAGGTTTGAGCGTGTTTTTAAAACACAACAAATGAAGTTAGCTAAAACTAAACACTGGTCTACTGGTCCAGAAAATATGATTATATGATAGAAGTTTTTTATTGAAGATGAAAAAAAATCTGATCTGTTTCAATTAATCTTTGCTTTGTGTTTGTATTGTATATTGTTTGATATATAAAACTCAACAATCACCGCGGGGATGGTGATGAAGAAAAGATCTGCATTACTGCCGGAAAAGCTACCCATATTCGATCTGTTTTTTCTTCTTTAGGAAAGCTTCCAGATGCGGTCAATTTCTGGCTCGGAGAAGCAAATGCTATAACATCTAGTAAGACTTCCTCGTCCCCTATAAGACCGTTACACACATGTTTGACATTATGAGCACGTTCAGACTGTTTTACGCATCGCAAACACTAAAAGTCAACAGCAGGAAGACTAAAAATGAAAACGGAGCATTGAATAAGTAAAACAAGGAATATATTAACGGCAATTTCAGTTGGCAAAACCATTAAAAGAAAACTATTTTAAAAGGAAGTAAAAACTTGATAAGAGATATGAGTGTGAATACTAAAGAAACAAATGCTAACGCTAAAGTTTAAGAATAAATGGACTAGGATTAGTTTTGTAAATCCATAAAACTGCTTTAATATGAGATCAGGTTCATGCCAGCACAGAAACTCTGACTCTGGGATAGAATCAGGTGTCTATGTTTTGTGTCAAACCATTTTTTTACTCCTCTCTCATACAGTTAGATTTTTGACCGTGCTTTCTGTCATTCGCAGTTTGTTAGGAGCTTACTTTAGAACCACAGGTGTTCCATCTAACAGTGTGCTGTAAGCTTTGAAAGCTGCCACTGTTAAATGATCAGTCGTGTTAAAGCTGAAGTAGCTAGTTAGTAAAGCTGAAGCGTAAATGCAGTAGAAGCATAGAGGTTCAACATTTCCCTTTGAAATGAATTAGAGCTTCAAAGGAGCATAAAGCAGAGGCGGTAAAAGTGGGTTTTTAAGCCCTGATTGCTGTGCTAATGTTAGTCCTCTCTTTATGTGACAAGAGACTTCCAGCACAACATCATAAAAATAATGTTAACCATTAAAAAGTTTTTCCTTGCCTGTGTCGCCTAGTGCTTGCTCATGGTGGGAATTGTTGGGTTTCTGTAATTAACTTCAGAGTAGGGTCTGACCTGCTCCGTTTGGAAAGCGCTGTGAGACAACTGTTGTTGTGATGTGCCGCTATATAGATAAAGTTGAATTGAAAAAATTTACCTGTTTGATGTCTCATTCAGTGCACAAAGACCCCTACGAGAATCTTTACTGTGTCGTTTCTGGGGAGAAGCACTTCATCCTGCTGCCACCCACCGACCGACCCTTCATCCCCTACGGTAACCACACCCACCCCCCTCAACCGTTGCCGTGGCGTACGCTTGCCTGACCCGGGTAATCCCGTCTCAGGTCTGTACCAGCCGGCCGTCTACCGCCAGCAGGACGACGGTCACTTCGAGGTCATCGACGAGAAGGCCTCGCAGAAGGTGCATTCAGACGTCTACGTGTGTTGATTTAAGTTCAAATCAATCAGATTACCCAGATTACCTTTCCTTTGTCAGGTGCCTTGGATCCCCTTAGACCCCCTGGACCCGGACCTGGAGCGGTACCCGCAGTACCGGCAGGCCCGGCCGCTCCGTTGCACCGTGAAAGCCGGAGAGATGCTGTATCTGCCCTCGCTTTGGTTCCACCACGTCCAGCAGTCGCACGGCTGCATAGCAGGTACGCTGACCGCCGCACAGTCCAGCATCCACGTCAACCCAACCGAGCAGGAAAACACACCGCTAACGCGCCAGCTCTGTGGCAGCGGAAGCTCATAGTCGGTTCTCTTTGCAGTGAACTATTGGTACGACATGGAGTACGACATCAAGTACAACTACTTCCAGCTGCTGGAGACTCTGTGTGAAGTCACGGGGTCGACGTGACGCCACCGTGGGAGCTACAAACAAACATTCTGACGTCACGAAACCGTCCCCGATGAGTGGAAGTACCCCTAGTGGTCAACGTGGACAAAGTTTCCCACAAAAAACACCCACAGAGGTTTGTCCAAACTGCAGCTCTCAGGATGACCAACATCTATGAAATGACAAATCTTGGAAGATATAACGCTGCTATTATTTTACAATAAAAAAAACTATTTTAACATTATCATTTCGTGCTTTATTTAAGAGAATAGAACAGAAGTTATTCTTACAGTTGTGGGGGAATTACTCCACAGACAAAGGGGTGTTGTCCCTCAGGACAATTGACCTCAAGAACGAGGTGAATGATCACTTTAATCAGTCTGAATTTAATAAAGGCTTCTTACGCAAAAATAAGGAGTATAAGAGTCACTAGGATACAAGGAAAAGGGAAAGTTTTAATCAGAACTGAGAGGTCAGATCAGAGCTCCCTCCCGGTAACACAGATCATCTTACCTGGACATTCCAGCAGTTGAAGGTCCACATCCAAATTAAGATTGAGAGGCATCAGGTCTCACTTACCTTTCTATGTCCAGCCTTGAGTGCATCATGAACCTGAGACTCAGATTCCCTTATAAGAATAACCACAAAGAAAGCCAATAGTCAAACAGGGTAAGACCCCAAATAAAGCAAGTTTCATGTTCATGAAAGATGTACCCTGCTTCCAGGGTGTGGGGGGGAGGTCTGCTTCCTGAAGGATTTGCCTTACATTCTGATTTAAAAACTCAGGAACCACAAGCAGACCTACACTCTGAGAGCAAAGAGGCCTAGAAACTTGCTTTATATGAAAGTCAAAGACAGATTCTGAGGAAGAAATCACTTCCTCACTGTAGGACTAGAGGCCGAAGAATAGCTAGAGGTACTCAGATCCAAAGACAACAGCTCCCGTTTGTTTGAAATCAGACTTCTATTCAGTCAGTCGGGATCTTTTTGTTGTTTCTATAAACTTGTTTCTCTCTTTCCAGGCAGGTATTGCTGCCCTGGTGTCACGGTGCTTGTACCTTCTTTCTTATCCTGACTCAGCTCCATCATTTCTCCTAATCCAGAAAGAGAATAGTTCAATAGATGTATTTAATCAGAATCAGGTGTCTTGAAGCAAGGAAACATCTAAAACCCGTGGGTCAGCAGCCCTTAAGGACCGAAGGTGGAGATCCTTACCATAGATACTTCAATATCCTCCGATGTCCGATGATATTGGTTCCTTGTCTTTTCTTTGGTTGGTAACAGCTGTCTTGAGTCGTCTACATTTATTCATAATTCTCTGATCAGGTTTGAACTCTGTAGACGTTTGTGTTCTCGTCAGCCTTTATGTGTCAGCACCGTGGTTTATCATCAAACATTGTGATATCAAAACAATGTGCCCTATTACCAGTCTCTAATCCTTGTGGTTTAAAAACTAAACTTGATTGGCATAATAAGTGTGGTGGTAAGAGTACGGCAGTGTGGACTTATTGGCTGTATTTTGAAAAACAGACAATAATTTCAAGATTTTCCAAGACTTCCACATTTACTGAAAAAGAAAAGGTTGGCGTAACATCTGCATGCATAAAAATGAAGGCCTAAGTCATCCAGTGACAGCTGTTTATAGCAGCAGGAGGCATTCACCTCACGAAGTTTGATTGACAGTGTGGTGGCTCCCAGATGGTGTACTTATGCCATGTTCCTAACAAATGGATATCCACATTTATTTGAGCTGGCCACACATGGTGTTCAGGTACTTTTAGCATCAACGACTAAGGAAAAAAACAAAGCTGGGACCATTTCCGCCTGTACCATATTCAGGGACAACATAATCATGCACAAATTCTCATTTGGGGATTTTGGGTGCTTCTCCACGCCTCGGGATCCCCCCGGGAGGGGCGGGGGGAGGGGGGGGGGGGGGGGGGGGGGGGGGCGGGAAGTCTGGGTTTCCTTTTCTCAAGCTGCTGCCTCTGCAACCCGACCCCGAATGAGCCGTGGAAAATAGATGGATGGATGGATGTCTCAAACCGAATGGGTCTGACCTGTGGGGTTCCCCAGGGTTCAATCCTGGGGCCTCTTTTGTTAAATCTGTACATGCTTCCATTGGACCAGCTGATACGCAGCTATAATGTATTAAATCATAACTATGCAGATGACACTCGGATCTATGTCTCGCTGACAGCAGGAGAACATGGGAAAAAGAGAACGTTTCATCAGTCACTTTCAGACTCTCTCTGGAACCTAAAAACGAAGGCAAAAATATTAGGGTAACACTAAACTCAGACCTAACGTAGACTTAATTTTAACAGCCACACTACATCAATAACATCAGCAGCTTTTTACCATCTCAAAAACATGTCCAGAATCAGAGGTATAGTGTCTAAACCAGACCTAGAAAGATGTATCCATCCATTTGTCTCCAGCAGGTTGGACTACTGTAACATCTAGAGCTCTGACCAGAACCAGGAAATACCACCATATCAGTCCAGAGCTCAGGTCTCTGCTCTGGCTTCCTGTCACTCAGAGAATAGACTTTAAAACAGCTCTGCTTGGGTACAAGGCTCTTCATGGTCTAAAGTACATCATAAACATGTTAGAGCCGTATCAACCAGCTGGACTCTGAGAACCTCAGGTCATGGTCTACTGCTGGTGAACAGTCAGGACAGATTTAATTTTAGTTTTGTGTTCCTAAGATCTCAACTCTGCCGATGTTTAAATCTACGTTTTTATCTTTTATGTAAAGGACTTAGAAATATCATGTACAGGAAATGTGCAATACACATATTTTTGTTGCCTGGCAAAAATGCAGCTGCTCCACAGTTTAATAAGCCGAGGGAGAATAGAAGGCCTAGAACGTAAAAAAACTCCACCACCGTGAAAGCAATGGGTAGCGGTGAGAAAGCAGTTTATTAAAGCAAAACATCTTTTATAAAGACAGCTTCACAGAGCCAGCAGGCACACACCAACAAGCTTTTGTAAAAAAACAAAAAACAAAAACAAATACAAAACAAAAAAAATATCTCCATGATATTCAGTTATTACCATCTTCCCTCATAAACCTTTAGTCCGGCTCCTCATATTGCACCATCTCAGACTCAGGACCACATCTATTTGCCCTTTAAAAAAAAAAAAAAAAATCCAAACAAAAGCCTGACGTGTACAAAACAAGGTACAGACGGTGATGAGTTTAGCTCTCTGGGTGAGGTGTGTGACCAACTGAGTTTTCTCTTTTTAAACGATCAACACCTGTTGTTGACCTCACCTGCAATGGCTCAATTATTTCTGTTTATTATTTGACAAAAAGAAATCAACATCCTGTAAGCCGACTCAGGATCACTGTAGAACATCTGTTGGATATGGTGTGTTTTTTTTAGGGCTCTTTGGCTTGATCTTTTTTTTGTTGGTTCAAAATATAAGCCTCCAAACTCATTTTCAGATGACCAGTGGAAGCGGTGAGACGGTCACTTAGCCTCAGTGTGACCCCACAACATGTTTGTCCAAAGCCCCGCCTGCTGATTCTGTCCCCCATCGGGGGGGGGGGGGGAAGCGTCCGTGTTTGGCCGTGATGTGTTAAAAGGCCGATTCCGATTGAACGGAAAATTCCGGATTATTCCAAACTTGCTTTATCTGCGGCGAAGGTTTAAATACGAGAACCAGAACTGTTGGTCTGACGAAAAAAAAGATAAATAAAAAAAAAATCACATCCCAGTCTTTGAACCCCGACAGTTCTAAGGCAGGTCCCGGTGTTGGCCGAAGAGCTAATAATACAGCCCCACGCCATTTATCCCACACACACACACACACACACACACACAGGCACTCACGTAAACAGTCAGTTGTCGGGGCTGCGGCTCCCTCTGTAGATGGGCACGTTGATGCTGTGGAAGGCGGGCACCCAGCGGTTGTCGTGGAGACCCACGTTGCAGCCGGGCGCGTCGCGGCGGGCGCCGCGGCAACACATCCAGTAGCCGGGGCCGTAGGGCAGCGCCTGGCAGTAGGGCTTGTGGTGCCAGCGGCACAGCGACACGTCGCCGGGCCGGTGCCGGCGCTTGCACTGCTTGCAGGGGTCGTCGCGGTAACGGGGGTCCGACACCCAGAGGGAGTCGGCGGGGCGCGGGGCGTAGTCGTCGATGAGCAGGCGCAGGCGCGTGCACGCGCACTTGAGCGCGGCCAGGCTGCGCGTGGGCAGCAGCAGCAGGATCTTGAGCAGCAGGTGGGGGGGCAGCAGCAGCAGGAGGGGCTGGGGGGCCAGCAGCCGCTGCAGCCGCCGCCGCAGCGCCAGGAAGTCCGGCGAGGCCGCCGGGCCCCGCCCCTCGCGGCCGGGGGGGGGGCAGGGGGGCGCGCCGGGGGGCGGGGGGGTGTCGCCACCGGGGTCCGACTGAGGCGGGGGGGCGGCCTCGGCGCCGGGCGGGGACAGAAACAGCAAACCGGGCAGAGGCTCCTCCTCCTGGGACGGAAGGGGCGGAGCTACTCTACAAATGGCCGACTCAGCTCTGACCACCGGTCCTTCTGAGAGGGACGGGACCTTGGGAGAAAAGCCCGGAGCCGTGGGCGGGGCCGGCGGGGGCAGGGGCCGGCCGGGGGGGGGGCTCTGGTCCCCGGCGGTCAGCAGCACCCGCCCCGCCCCCCGCCTCAGGCTGCTGCTCCTGGACACGCCCCCCTCCTCCTTCTGCCGCCGCACGCACTCCCCCTCCAGCCGGGCCACCATGTCGGACACGCGGACGCTGTCCGGCTCCTCCTCGGGCCGGACCTCGGGGGGGGCCGGGGGCCTGGACAGCGTGATGCTGGCCGAGCTCCTCTGGAGGTGGGGGGCGGGTTTGGGGCGGGGCTTCTGTTTGCTCGCCCTCCGTTCCAGGAAGGCCACCATCTCCCCCACCGACACCTTCTGCCGGTCCTCGTCCCCCCCGACCGTCCCCGGCTCGCCCCCCCCCACCCCACCAGCCAGCTTTGACGCCATTGGTGCTGGCTGTTCGCCCGAGAGCTGGTTCCTCTGGTCCCGCGGGAGTTTCGGGCTGTTTTCGGACCGGCGCCGCCTCTTGGGGGTGGAGTCCCCCCCCCGGCTCCCCTTGGCCTTTGCGGCGCACACCATCAGCACCCGCTCGTGGCGGCGGAGGCCCACGGGGGAGGCGGAGTCGTGGGCGGGGTCGCTCCACCGCCCCTCCGCCGCAAAGATGGCGATCTTCTCCCGGACGTGGCCGGGTCTGATGACGGCCCACACGCTCAGGTCGGCGTCCGGGTCCGGCCGCGGGGCTTTGAGCCCCGGGCAGCGCGGGGCGTTGCCGGACAGCACGCCCAGCGGGATCCGGCCGCTAACGCTAACGCTAACGCCGCCGCCGAAGGTCCGGGGGAAGGACTTGGGATGCATGGCGGACCTGAGACACAGAGGACAGGTCTGGACGTCAGATTACACAAACAAACGAAGCCGACACCATAAAAGCCAATAGCTCTCCCCTTCTAAAGCGTTTCTCCTTTAAGATTCTATCCTTTCTAGATAGAAAACCCCGATTGGGTTTTAGTTGAGGGGCGTTGGAACGTGCAACAGAGCTCAGCTCTAAGTATTCATCACTACATGCGTTATCTGTGAAGATTTTCATTTTCATTTCATTTCGTTTATTTTGAAACATGATATGATTTTACAATGTTTGCATTGAATGCTTCATAAACATGCATCATGTTTCAAAAAGGAGTAGGATGAAGCATAAGCTTATTAAGCCCTACCCTCAGTTACATGTGTCATGGTGGTAAAGGACGATTACAGTAAGACAAACAGTAGAACTTTTTATGTATTATTCAATTCAATTCAATTTTATCTCTATAGCGCCACATCACAACAACAGTTGCCTCACAGCGCTTTCCAAAAAGAGCAGGTCAGACCCTACTCTGAAGTTAATTACAGAAACCCAACAATTCCCACCATGAGCAAGCACTAGGCGACACAGGGAAGGAAAAAGGAAATGTTTCTTTTTTGTATTCATCAAAAATACTTTTCTTATATTCTTTTTTGAATTGCTGGATGCTTTTACATTGTTTAATATTTTCAGGCAAGCTGTTCCAGAGCTTCACTCTAACGCTAATTGATAAACTAAAGCTTCTTTTTGTTGTGCGAACATACTTAGTTTTGAAATTTAATTTTCCTCTGATTATATTTCCCATCTCTATCTGTAAACAATTGTTGTATGTGTGCAGGAAGTAATTTATTTCTTGCTTTATAAAGAATTTGAGCAGTTTTGAAATCGATCACGTCTACAAATTTGAGAACTCTTGAATCCGGGAATAAACAGTGAGTGTGATCTTTATAATGTTTGTTATTCGTTACTCGTATTGCTTTCTTTTGCATCATAATCAATGGTTGATGTCCGAGACTGAGGTGGTCAGGAAGCGTGTTGGTGTGCGACGGCTTTCCTGACCCATCAGCATTCTGCCCCTCTCAGGCTCAGAACGCAAGGGGCGTGACGACCTACTCTAGAAAGCCAAAAGCAAAGAAGAGAAAGCCGTACTGTAGCAAACAGTATGTTGGAGATAAATGTGTTGGGGAACAAGATGGCGTCTGTGTGGTTGGCGTGCAATCTAGGGCACTTTACTCATAATTAGGGATGGGGATCGAAACCCGGTTCTATCAAGGACCCGGTTCCACTTTTTTCAAAACCCGAAAATCAATAACGTTTGGGCTGGTGGTTTTTTTTATTATTACAATAGTGATTGTGAAATCCGTGTTGTAATCGGCAGCATACAAGCTAGTTAGCTTGAAAAGTAAATAAAGTTTCAGACGTGATGATGTGTTCAGATTGGCTCAGTAAAACGACAATTAGGTTATCATGATGCGTTCAAGTGTAACGTAAAGAAAAGGGAAAATGAGTTTTTGGCGAGAAACATGAGTAATACAGTTGTATATTGCCCTAATTATTTTAGAATATATAATTAAACTACTGATGCCAACATTTATTAAAAATTACATTTAATTTAAAATACAAATTTTTATTTGCTAAATATTGTCGCATCGTCTTTCCACCAAATAACAGAAAAGTATGGATAGTGGTATCGATAAAGACTCGGATCGATAAAGAGTATCAATATCAATAAATATTAACGATCCCCATCCCAACTCATAATCTCAGGAGCCAACATGCCATAAAACTCCTGAAACTTCCTTCGTTTGATATTATAAAAATTTGTATTCATCTATTTTTTATTTATTTACTTCTTAATCTGTTGGTGGTTCCCAGGTCAAATCCCCGGCTCATTTGGGGACTTTCTTTGTTCGAGTTTGCATGTTCTCCCAATGTCTGTGAAACCTGGATATCCCTCAGTGAGGTTAAGCGCATTTCCTCGGCGGGTGCCTGGTAACTATGCTCATTTCAATTCCCCCAGGTCTTGTGGTGGTGGAGGAGGTCGGGCTGTAGTTAATAGATCAAAGTTTAACTGTGCACGGCTTTCTTAACAAGCCCACTAAGGCAATTTTGAACTTTCCCCAACTTTGCGCCGAACGAAAGTAAGGAACTTCTTCATTTTTCTGATTTATTGTCGGCTTTTACATTAGGGTGTGGCCAGATTTTAATCAGGGGGCATTTTAAAATTCACGAAGCTGCTGGTCAAAGAATCCCGTGGTTTTGTGGACCCTTGACTTTGTTCAGTCTGTCAATGGTTCCACCCAAGAACGTAGACACAAACTAGACCAAGTTTTATCCCATGCCTTACTTGCTCTAAATCCCGAGATTAGCTTTGGATTTTTTTTTATTCCCAACCATATCCCAATTGTATTCAATTTCATCCTCCCTTGTCTAACCCTAACCCTGCCATGCCTCTTACGCAACACAACACAACCCCCACCATCTTCTAGCACCAAAGAGTTACTTTCTCACAACTCAGTTTGTCAATCTGTGCTGGATGCTGCAGGAGAATCGAATAAAACTCATTTAAAAAAAATGAAGAAAGCCAGGCTGCAGATCTCACTTGAAATATTAAATGAAAGTCGGGGTTGTTATCAAAAAGCAGTTAAGGCTGTTGAAACCAACCATTTCTCTGAGATTATTGCTGCTAAACGACTGAACTCTGTTCTAAATGTGAATGAACCAGTTCCGTTGCAAGCCTTAAAACAGTTGTGGAAAAGTTTTCTTAACTTCTTTTTGGACGAGGTTGGTAATATCTCTCTGCCTTCTAATGATCCATCCATGCAAGTGTCTTGTCCAGACTTGTTTGACCAATTTCACCCTGTGAAAACCTTTTCCTTGTACTCAACCATACGGCTTTCCATTGTTCTTCCTGGACTGAAAAAGGAGACCTTATATCCTCAACTTAAGTACTAGCATTCTGGCATCTGGTCTGGTTCCGCAGGGCTCCATTCTTGGGCCTCTTCTTTTTTTCCCCCTCTACCTTTTGCCACTGGCAACTATTCAACAAATATATGGGACCTCGTTCAATTCAAATGGAACAGTCAAATCTATTTCTCTCCCAAGCAGCCTCCTCGACTTTCTCAGCGATGTCAAATCATGGATGGCTCTTAATTTTCAGAGTTTTAAGCTACGTAAAACCAAAGTGATTTTAGTTGGCCCCAGATGCCGAAACTGAAGCCATGTTTTCTCCCTATTATCAAAATTAGGAATCGTGTACCCATTACTTCCTGGACCACAACTGTAAAGAGACAAAATTGTTCCCGTTTCACAGTATTCAAAGTATGTCATTAAAAAGTATTCCAATAAAACATTGAGGTCCTATACGAGAGCCCCTGTGTGCTAATGGAGCTGCTGTTCATTTAAAACTACTCCAACTTTATGTGCAGCTGAACATCTCACACGGTTTGGACCAAAGACACATCATTGGTCTGTTTCTCTGGCCTCTCCACAGTGGAGCCCTCTGCAGCCGGTGACTGAACCCCGGCATGTCCTACCAACAATATTTACCTTTGCTAAATGCGTTGATGGGGCTGGTGGGGCGCGGTCCTGGTCGGGCTGACAGCTCCTCTGGTCCTTCAGTCTTTCACATGCTGCGTCTCTTCTGGCTCGCACCTGTAGACAGCACCGTGCACAAAAACACGCGCGTTTTACTGAACCTGCTCGCGCTGTTAAATCGCATTCGCAGTCAAACTTTATGCCGAGTCGTCCCTCAGCTGGACAAGACCTAAAAACGCACCCACGTGTTTAAATCTTCGTCAGACTTTATGAAACAGCTATCGGGTCAAATCATTTGTGTGTCTTGTGTGAATTAGGACCCAGAGAGCTATAGAAGAGGTAAAAGTGTGCATCTCCAAATCCACCTAAGTCCATCTGGTCAGTACACCTCAGTTCTCAAAGGGCGATTTTTCATTGCTTGGTCCAGCTCTAGTTTATCTTTATTTATTTTTTGCATTTCCATTAGGAGCTGGTGCCTCCTAACAGTTCCAGTTTCAGCACCTACTCATCAGAGGTTCCAAGTGGGTAGATTTGGGTTGATGGCCAGGAAGTCACATGACTGGATAAGCGATTCCTTCCGGAGAACCCTGAACAGACGCTTCATTTCATTACTTCTGAGATCATCCACATTGTAAACGGCATATCATTAGGCTCACCACCGACCCATTACCGTGGTCCAACAGCGAGGTTCAGCCAATCGGCCGGCGGCGCCAGTCCTTCGTTGTTGTCTGGCGCTCATGTCAACAAAACAGGGTAAAAGTATGTCTGGGATAAAAAGCCCCGGAGGAGACGGCCCACACAGGTGTGTTTACACCCTTATGTGTGGTTACCATGGCATCCATATTTACAGCCGACAGGTTATTTTCTTTTCCTGAGAGAGTTTCCTTATTTCAGCGGTGAAACGGTTTGATTAGTGAGCTTAAGGTAATGAAGTGTCTAAAGTTCTACTCTTTAGATCTGCTCCATCACCATAGAGCTCATAGCACTTTGCTCTAAGACTGCTGGTTTATTTGTATTCCTCCTATTAGAGATCAGCACAGTAAGATCTATATTCTCTTTTTTTTTTTTTGCTCGTCTTGGCTTACAAGCCCTGTCAATCAAATAAAAGGTCAAAGGTTTTCACGTTCAGAAAGAAACTGGACTTGATCGAAACGGAACATTAAGTTCTAATACTGTATTTGCGTTATGAACAGCTTACTGTGTGAACTATCTAACGACAAAGGTTGTAGCTGAAATATATATTAGATATATTTGATTCCCTGAGCCAGCCAACTACTTTTATAATCAGAGCCATTTATGAGGGATTGACTTCCATTTGGTTTTTGATTTTTCAACTGAAAGAGGAGCCGTTTATGGCATTTCATCAATGGCTGATTAAGGAAAAGTAGGTAACTAAATGTCTGCAGTGTTT